TATCGGGTGTACCATCACGGTTTTGGAGGCTCCCAAGTGTTTAAAGCCGAAGCGCAATTTGATGAGTGTATTGTGTGCTGCGGGGTATGGGTCGAGAAACTGATCGAGATGAAGAGACGACAGGACGCGAGGACGTTCGAACGCCGAGCTCCGGCTTTAATGATTAGTAGGCAGAGCCACAGCCTGCTATGTACTGACAAAGCCTGGCAGATCGCCACCAGAAGCGGCCGCCGAAATGGAAAAGGTGGAGCGGAAGACAACGGTTGAAAGGAGAGCCACGTGACTGGCGCCTCGCTGCGGCGAGACGCCGAAACACACTTCTTCCGAGCGAAAAAATGTGTTTTGGATCCTCGCCGCTGTAAAAACTGTGCGCTGATGTCCAGGTTCCCCGAAAAATCGTTGTTGAATGCTCCGTCTTACCAGATCCTGGCGCTTCAAATCTGCGACCCGGCACACCATGGCTCCTTTGTCGAACTGCCAGGCTTTGTGAGTATAGACAATACTATGGTCGACCTCAACCTTTGCCTCCACTGCCCGCGTCGAATGCGTTCGGAAGCGAGAGCGAAACGCCGGGCGCCAGAGTTTCGCGTGCTAACGCGTTCGACGAGTGCAGTGCGCGATAAAGACAGCTAGGTTGGGGTCATTATTCCAACTAGAGCTCGGCGTTTTGAAGACCCCGCGCGCTCTCTCTTGTCTTCTCTCCCTCATTTTCTGGGCGGAGTGAAAAATCTAAAATCTGAAATAAAAAACCCGACGAAATGATAGCATTTCAGAGCGAAAATAAAATCTGCAGGACTGGAAGGCATCCACGTTTTCTTATTTTTTTAAAGAGCTATTCGCTCTCCATAATATCCCAGCGACGCCGTCTTCCAAAGATAAGGTACTAGGTGTTCAAAACCATGGTAGCGCTTGAGACGTGGAAAAGGAGGACTATGGAGTGCACAGAGCTGTGCCTGGTCCAGTCTGCTCCTTTGTCCTCGTCTCGAGAGCTGCCATGTTTTTGACTGCCTAGAACGTTCCCTTTGGAAGACGGCATCGCGCAACAATCTGCACTGATCTGCAACTCGCGCAACAATTTCTACACTGATCAGAACATATATGATTTGATAAATGCAATTAACTACAAAGGTGCAGGCGAGGTGGACAGAATGAACGATAATAATCCCTGGAAAATGGGAACAACAGGACAAACGACAAACTCAATTTTCTAAACACAAATAGGTGACTGGTGAGCGCTGAAAAAATCCGCCTGGTTCGATACGAAGAACAGGCCCCTTCTCCAGGGAATATTATTGTCTTTACTAGTGTCTTCTGTTGATATAATTAAAAAAAAAAACTTTTGCATTTTCGTCAATATTGACAATATTAAAACCAAGTTTGCGTAGATGCCTTTTGCGGTATACCTGAAACCAATTTTGTTAGAGAACTGTATATATTGCAAACCATTCGTGTTAGTACTCAAAAAAAAAAGTCCTCGACATTGTTAGGAAGAATCAACGAACACTGGGGATCGCCATAATTTTAACAGTGAAAATTGTCATTTTCAAAAACAAGGACTTTGAAAGATAAACATGTATTTTGAAGGTACGCGGTTTTATTTGGTGCTGATGTAAGTGCATTGTTTTTCGCTTTTTTTATGGCGGGCATTACGTTGAGGTTTCCTTTTGAAAACTAAACCAGGAAATTGTTTCGCAAAATCGGTATACGCAATATTCTAGAAAATATTTTTAGTTTTGGTAGAACATAAACAAGAACACCATTCTGAATGTAATATTTAACTTCTTTCTACACAAAACCAAAACAATTGTTATTTGTAATCTGGAAAAACAATCGCTACAAGCTGGTGCATTTAGACAATTTACGTGTTTGAATTTAACATTATGAGTTTCTTTCTAACACCGAACGATCATCGGTTGAAGTTAAAACGTGCCTAATCAAAACGCCCTTTCCATATGCAATGAACTCGGTGGAATCGACATCCTTTACATGCTTACGAAGTCGTAATTAAATATGTATGATAAAACCAACTCGCTAGCGAGTCTTTTGAGAGTAGCGTGAAATGCTAGAGGTTCAGAGGGATACTTTTTGAACATAGGCTCCTCCGTTTTAGAACAACGTTGGTGTCTTTTTCACATTCAATCAATGCACAAACTTGTGTCCTTTTCGACCTAAGTTGGGCGCTTATTAACTTGTGCCGATGATTTTTTGAAATTATAGGAGTGCATTCAAGTTCTTTTTTTTTGTTTTTTTCTCGTTTGAACAACTCGTTTGAGCGTGCATCTGTTTTCTTCGTTTGTTATTTCTCTTTATACTAGGGGCTTCTGAAATCTCGTGGGCGTACTTTTTAAAAAATAGTATTCACATATTTGCGCAGCAACGTTTTTAATCGATCATTTGTCTCGTCAGATTAATTACTCAAAATATCTAAAGTTTCCTTCACAATGCAGATCACGCTAGAAAGATTCTAGCTTCCTAGCAATAAAATCTAAGAAATGAATTGTTTCACTACACGATGTTGCATATGAGCATTTGTCGGTGGATGTCAACTTAACTTTTCTCAAATAACGCAAACAGGTACGGTGAATATATAAACAATTGTTGGAAGCTAATTAAGTTTACATTTGAATGGTCTACCCGAGATATTTCAAACAATCTATAAAAATATCCTCATGAGTGACCGGTATCAGAATGCGGATTTGGACTGGCTCAGCAATAAGAAACGCATGTCAAGACCCAAGGTGCCGCCTAAACATTGGAACAAGAGGTCACTATAGCGAATTAGCCGCAAGAATAACTCAAAACGTTCAAAATAAAATGACGAGCGCCACTTGAAGGAAGACGTATTGTGCAGTATACGAAGTTTGCATGGTTCCCCGTTAGAACGTCCTAGGGGCAAAATGCGAACCAAACGCTAACAATGGGAGCGGAGTAGCACGGCTGGCTTTGCATTCCCCCGTGAATGTTTTTTGCTCAGTTTTCTTTTTTACTTGGACAAAGTTAATATTCCTTAAGAAATGGATTTTATATTGGGAATTAATAGCTTTGTTCCGACCGGATGAATTCAAGCCGCCTTACGGAACGTGTTTTTATTGAATCTCATGAGCGATACATTGCGATTGTCCTGAGGTGGCTGCCACGGCGCCGCACAATTTCGCGCTCGCACTTGGGTGCTTTTTCCATATTCCTTCCTTTATTTCGAGGGACTGGGTAGAATTATGGAGCAATTTGTCACGGGCCTAAAAAGAATTAATAGGTCCGGCCTCGCTTTATCTGCTTGGTCAGCGCTTGTTATTTCTTTTCTTCCGAATTCAATGGGAATATAATTGTATATAAAATATACAGCGCAGGATAAAGAAGAGAATAAAACAATATTAAGCAACAAAGGTTCAACAAAAGCGAGAAAAAACATCTCGAGAGCTCATTCAAGATTACAATGTACCAAATTTTCGCAACCAATATCGATCGTGCCTCCAGACTGTGCCCAGACGCTTCGCATTCTTGGAGGGGCGGGGCGGTGCAACGACATTCAGTTAGAATGTTTTTTTGTTTTTTTGTTTTTTCACCTTACACGAGCTCATTGGCATTAGACGGACCCAAGTATACTCGCACGCTACGCCAGTGACCATAGAGACCTCTTCGTTGCGGTGCAATTCCTAAAAGAAAAGAGGGCGTTTTTTTTTTTACTCTCTCCTTCTCAAAACTGGATGACGTAGTTTGGAGGTAAAAATGCCCTCCACAGATGACATTAGAATGCGCCCCATAGATTGACCCCAATCATTGCATGAGCGCTCGATCAGGACTCGCGATATTCAATAGCTCAACAATTATTCGGCTAGTGGGTTGTGACCAATACGTTCCATGCCAACAATTGACGAAGCCTAACAATGCTTGGGACTCAGCGCGGGTCTTGTGTTTCGCCATCCTCAGCGGGTGGCTGTGTTAACCATTTCCGTCATATAATTTTCTCCGGATATCGTGACCGCTTGTGCTTGCTGCGAGTTAAAAGGGAAATCGCTGCTCGTTGTTTTTTTTGTTTTTTGTTTTTAATTTGTTTTTGTGTTTATTAATGCAAAAGGAGCAACACTAGCGTGTGTTTCATATGTTGTGAAATTCAGGAATTCATTCAAAGGGGTATTTGTGCAATGTAATACAATCGTTACACAGAAACGAAACAAAGAAAAATATACTAATTGCCTCCTCTCCAGAGAGATTTTTTTTTTCTAGTTCCGGTTGCGACGATGTGCTTCTATGTTCAGGTCGCGGATGATCATTGCAACTGTACAGTCATGGCCTCCTCTATACTACCAAAGCCTGGTAGTTCGATGACAGAGCCATAAAGTGCCGGTGGTTGCAGATTCGAAGCGCGAGGATCTGGTAGCACAGAGCATCAAAGAGCCATTTTTGGTGGAACCTGGAGGTCAGCGCACAGCATTTGCAGCGGCGAGGACCTGAAAAACACTTGTTCTCTCGGGAGAAGTGTGTTTCGGCGTCTCGCCTCAGCGGGGCGCCAGCCCACGTGGATCTCTTCTCATCCGTTGTCTGCCGCTCCACCTTTTTCCTTTCGTCGGCCAATTCTGGTGGCGATCTGCCAGGATTTGTCAGTATATAGGAGGCTATGTTAAAATGGGTGACAAGATTGCAGGCACTGACCGGTCTAATCACTGCTCGCAGCTGCTGCGACCACGAGCCTGCGCTGCTCTGGATGGACGTCGGTGATGACCGGCCTGTCATGTCTGCTCTTGGTTCGGGTACTACGACAGCCTGTGACGTGAACCATGGCGAGCGGCCGGCACTCGCTCTCTCAAAAAAAAAAAAAAAGAAGCTTGGAGACATTGCGTGGAACCACCATCGACATCTGCGCTGACCGCGCGCGCATTGCAGGACAGTCGGCAGCTCTGATTGAAAGAAGTTTACGTCAGATGTACGGTTGCGGGGGTGTACCTTAGCTGGTCTACGAAATAGACCACCGGAGCGAGGTTTTATCTGTTGAACTGCTGGAAATGGAGCAGAGAAAATTCGGCGGTGTGTGCGTGGGTGTGTGGCTCTCGAGCAAGACGACGTCGTCCATCCCGATTCTGTTGTACATACAGGTTCAGTGAGCCGAGGGAGTGGTTCTGACACGTGTTGCGTGCACGTCGTGCGGAACATTCGGGAACGTGAACACTGTTGCTCTCAATTACGAATGAAAAAAAAAGAAGAAAAAAAAAAAAGAAAGACGAGAGTGAAGAGAACAAGGACATCAGTGAAGTGTGGTGTTTGTGCGCGAAACGAAGGAAATATAAAAATGAATGGTTCTCGGCCATTTTTGTTATGCGGCCGTGTTCAGCGAATGTAGCACGCTAGAATCTTTTGGTCGGTAGCGGGTGCCTAAGCTGTTAGGCGCCCTTTCTGCACCTTCGTTTTCCTTCTCCTTCGCTTTTTGTTGAATAGAGTGCCGAGATTGAAAGCGGTTGTCGGTTTCGAAATTGAGACATCCGTCTAACGATCACGTGAGACGGACAATTCGGGGCGTGTTAGGGAGGGGGGGGGGGGGGAGGTTAATGAGAAGCATTGTGTTACAGCAGAGTAGAGCTTCCACTTGTTAAAAAACACTTGCTAGTTTTTCTTTTTTTTTTGGGGGGGGGGGGGGGGTGGGGGGGATTGGTTTATTTGGAGGGGTGTCATTAATAAACTTTATCCCGAGAAATATATTGCACTAAACTTTGCTGATTATGCAAGGCGGACTCAACAAATCACCGGTGGAGGGCTTGCGGTAAACACGTTGTGCGCCCACGTCCTTTCTTGGTTTTGCTGATGTATTGTTCCACAAGAAAATCACGACTTTTAAATGAAAGAAATGGTCGAAGCGACATCAAGGACAAATATTGGTTTACTTCCGCCGCATGAACATAAATATATTTGAAGTCAATTAGTGCTGATTGTCATTATTCCATTGCTAGAACAATGTGCTTGTCGACTGTTCTTTGACGTTAACTGCGATTACCGTTGTTTTGGTTGAAAAAAAAAAACTTGAAATGATGCGGGACGAGAAAAACTGCAATCAGTTTTATTTTTGTTGAAAAAAAATCTTGAGATAATGTGAGACGCGAAAAAATTATTTTTATTTGAAGAACAGAAGTAATTGCCCATTTCTGTGCCATAATAATTATCGAACAAATAGAAACACTCTTTGCTTTGCAAGGGCTTCATGGCTGCGCACAGACTAAAGCTCCTTTGTGATGTCTAAAGACGACATGCTGAAGTTTATATAATGCTGTATTTGGCCGCATAATAATTAAGTGTCGAGCTCGTAAATTACATAGTATTGCAGACGTGGCCAAGGGTGATTACACCAATGCATTGCGAAAATGATGGCGTAAAATACTTTTGAAATGTAATGAGGCGGAAGAAAATTTAACCATCCTTTTATGACTCCGATATTGTGCTGTCAGGAGAGAGATGTCATCGTAAGAAACAATGAAGACATTTAGCAAACAGTTATCGTGTTCGGCGCATCACACTACAGACGTACTTGACGCACGCTTCGAAGCTCGTGCTCCTTGGTCACTGTATTACCCGAGCGCGCGCATAAAAGCATGCTCTAAAGGCTCAGGTAGTGCGGTAGGCGAAACACGGCAACTATTTGCTAAGGGTCCATAGTCATTGCAGTAAACGTGGTCACAATTCGTTTTTTTGCCCACTAGGAGTCTCGCAAAATTTTAATTTTTTTCGAGGGATGTGATGTCAGCTCATACGATAAGATCCCCGCTGCTTTTGTTTCGTGTATATCACGCACCATGTCAACGTTACATCGTCGCCAGAGCTTTACAATAAGAAGTTTTGTGGACGACTCTGCGCAAATTTTGTGTTTGCTAGAGTATCTAGCCAAATATTTTAAACCAGTTTTTTTTTCTTTATTTATCACTCTAGTCGAAGTGGCATCTTTCAGCTCTGTCGCTCCTACCTTGTGCCGAAGGACTTTGTGGAGATCTCCACTTGCTTGAAGTCTGCCCAGACTGCTACATCAGGGCGAAGAAGGCTACCCTGATGTGTCACTGTAGCCTACCAACTTTATCCTTCGGTGATAAATGATTATCTGACATACTGCAAGACATGTTTGTTAATACTGTTACTGAGCTGCTTCAGCACATTTGAACTGAGATAATTAAAAGTGCCCCTCAGGGTGTTCCAAGGAGAAAATCGACATGTTATTTTTGATTCTGGTTTAGACAATCTAGGACTGCATCATCTTTGAACAACAAGACGTTAGCAAAACATAAAGACATAACAATATAAAATTTAAAAAAAGACAGATATTCTTTAGCGTATAATAAATATTCTTACTCACCGAGCAAAACCAATAATCGTGCAATAGAAACACACTATACGCGCTTGGCCGCGCGTTGATATTATAAAACAAATATTTATTGAAACGTACCTGATATTTTTACTCCTTGTCACTTCAAATGCATGGAACTAATTCGGGAGTACAGCGAAATTTCTCTCTTGCTTTTACAGACTTTGTAGGAAGAACTTATAAGAAATTAGGATACGCGACTTTTCCAGACCAAGGAACACCAGCGGTAAATATCAGCGGAAAGTGGAGAAAACATTGCAGAAATATTACACAACATTTAGAAAAAAAATTTAGAAGAGCTGCTTTTAATTTTACGCATACTTGGCGGCGCGTTGCAAAAGCGTGTAGTGCATTCTGAAAATTTTAATTTGAGACGAAGCCATGAGGACAATTAAGACTTCAAGTGTCAGCCTCACCTATCTAATGGGCAGGAGTTGCAAACCAATCAAGTGCGCTTTTATTTGCCACCAGCATAAACTACTTGTGTGAACCGCCAAGATTAATCCATTTCTAGTGGTGTTTTCAATACGGCCTTAGTGGAATTAAAGGAGTATTCCGAAGATTTTTTGAGCTACCTCAACTGATTATCTTTCCAGAATCACCGGCCTTTAGCCTTTCCGGTATGCTCTTTAGTCCAATGAAATTCATAACAGTTATTATGAAATTGGCAGGTGAAAACGACGCCAAAAGCCAACCTTCAGATGTATGTCTGTGCTTTTCAGTGCTGTGACGTCAGTAGAAGGCTTGCAGGTCGTGTGGGTGGTCGACAAATATATTTCACACCCACCCGTTTCAACCTGGATAAACATCGTACCGGCGTGCGTTCGTCTATCAATAGTGCGTGATAAATGTTAAATACCCCAGGCTAGCGGTTGTACTGCACTGGCTAAATGGCTCATCTATATCTGGGAGACAAGCCGCTCGTTGAGGCAGATTAGGTCCTAGGTTGTTTAATCATGCACACACCCCAATCGTTTTTTTTTTAAATAAACTATGCCGAGCATTTGTTTCGTGCTGCTGCACAGGTGAGGAAGCGAGCTTCCAAAACATTCATTTGGCGCAATGAAACATCCTTATGACCAGTTCAGAACAAAGTTTACAGCCTAAAGAGTGAACCCCTGCCTTCTGCTGCCGTAACTTCTTTTTTTTTATTGTTTCCAGTAGAAACTAATTTTTAGAAAAGCGGTGAGGATCAACATTGTAAATTCCGTACTTACGCGAAACCATTATGGCCCAATATTTGGGTTACTATTTGGGCGACACGTGCTGGGGTGTTTACCAGATTTTGAGGCAAATCAGGGACCATGAATAAAACGCCGAAGTACCTCTATAAGCCTGTTTTACCTGCTGTGACTTTGTGGTGAACTCAATATGGCCAGTGACGCTGTGGCGGGAATCGCAACGCTTCTTTTGGCATGTTTTTTCTCCGCGCATTTTCTTTAGCTGAAATGCCCATTCTGTCAGTCGGCATCAACATTTTTTCGCTGCGTTATCAGAGAGAGATATATTTTCACGGTGATGCATTCCCGCACTGCTGCGCAAGTTTATGGCTTTGGCTTGCGTCTTACTTGAAGCAAGAGTAAGTAAACAGGCAAGCAAGGTAATATTACACATTTTCGCGAAAAAAAAAAGCGGCTAAGATGGACGAAATTAAGAAGGGGACAAACACAATGCCTGGAACTGGGCTAGCTGGTTTGCCATTCTGATGTATACTGCGCTGCAAAGTTACACTTAACAGATAAAGACGTAATCTTAACACAAAACATCTCAATTTGAGAGGTTTCGTGCTTGCCCCTTCTTTTTCCGTCGTATCCCTTTTTTTTCATGTCTTATTTGAGTTGGATTGCAACTAGCCTTGGCAACGCTGCGAAAATTACTTAAGTGTCAATAACACGAAGCAAAAAGTTTGAAACAAGCATAAATTGGGATTTCGCAGTTTCCTAGAGCTTGAATAGACACAATTTAAAATGGAGACGAACTGACAACATAAAGGCGAAACAAACTTGCACCTTAATTATTTTTATCGTTTTTATTTACATGTTTATTTTCATATTAACAAACAAGTCCATTGAACGACCAACACAGCCTTAAATTTTACTTCCGTGAAACCCCTTGAAAAGGGGCTGTCGTGGTGTATGATACATCGGATTCAGCCATGGACTCTAGTAAACACGAACAATTCGAATAATATTGAGCTTTTGGAAAGTGGAGGTGCGTACGGCTTCTTATGTGAAATGTGTTATGGTCTTTATTAAGAAAATCCAACACCTCATCATACCAAGGAAGCTGGAATTTTCACCACTTTATTGCGCAGATCGTTGTTGGATTCTCCACGTGACCCCATGGTTGGTCAAAGCGCTTCAACTGTAAAAACACCTTCATCTGTATAAGCGTTTTCGCTGCAAGTGTCTTCTTTCCATGTGAATGTCAGTTGCCCTGTGGCTGGTCAGCAAGAATGTGGCGTCTCCGGCCGCGGCGAACCGCTCTGCACTACACTTCGATTCATTGTAAAGAAATGCACGGTCAATTCTTTAAAGGGAGAGTAAGACCTGCACGCAGATTAAAGGCTCAAGGCAATGCGGCCTTCTCCGCTTTAGATCGGGTTACCCAGCAATGAACCGGGCACAAAATGTTGACAAACGCCCAGATGTTTCGCTTTCGGCACTGATTGATGGCTCCCATTTACTCGTATTCAGTCTGCGCTCCGAGTTGTAGGCAAGTGAACTATGGCCGCATTGGCTCGGGGCCGCCAGATGTTT